AGAGCTGCAAAAGTTTGCGCGAGCTATTTATTTAGAAAATGTATATACGAGTATAATATTTAGAATAAACGTGAAAAACATTTTTCACTCTGCTCAAGAAAATAAATAAATTTTTAAATATATAAATATTTTTTAAATATAAGTAAATAAAAGCTATGTTAAACAAATAATATGATAAGCAAATTCATAAATAATTTTCATTTTCTCGAATTTTTAGTCAATGTGACAGACAGACAAGCCAGTATTGCGGCAATGTCGCGAGAGCATCCAAGACAATTTGGGATTGAGAGATAAGGTGCCTTTCTAAGGAAAGAGAATTCCGATAATCGCCGTCTGTAAGGAAATAATTAATCGCGTCTGCAAAATCGCGGGTTGCGCGTCGGACGCGAATAGCCGAGATTACGCGAGGAGGGCGGGCGGGACGAGGAGGAGGAACGCGGCAAGATATCGTCTTTGGTCGCACAGTATCGATCGATACTATTCTATCTATTATTAGACGAGTAACGGCACACGGATCGTTATTATTATTATGCGAAATGTATTTGTAGCCGAAGAGACTCACGAAGAGACAACGACGACGAAGACAACGACGACGAAGACAACGACGACGAAGACAACGACGGGAGTTCTATTCCAGCCGCGAAAATCATGGCGCGTCCGTTAAGCCAGCTTGAAACTACAAGAGACGCTCTTCCAAGACGGGACAAAGAAGGTGTCGCGTAAAGAGGGAGGGAAGAGGGAGAAGGAAGAGACAGCGAAATTCGATCGGCAAACTAATCGCTGAACTCTCGCGATGGTGAATGAAATTAAATCCCACCAAAGCTCCAGGAAAATCGTTTAACCGCCACTACCACAACCAACGCGCGTTAATAATGTACCGTGCTCCGCAGGTACCGAGGTGTCACCGATAATTCCATAATCTTCTTCATCTCTCTCCTTTCTCTTGCCCGCGATATGGAGAACTATTTTAATACGCCCGAATGCACGCATCCGGCGAGATTATTGGCCGCGACGCGCTAAACCGATTAATCAACACCACTGCTGATTACGATTTTTACAATTTTTTCTCCCCGCTTTTTCTGCCCCGTCCAATAATTTCCTTCTCCACTCGCTGAAATGAACGAAAACGTCCCGCGAGAAAATAAATGGAGAACGCGATCATATGTAAATTATTCAACAGTGTATTGACCGCCGCGCCGCGAAACCACGACGTTATATTACCTATCTATACCCTGGAAATAAATAATGCAAGTGGTACGGTGGTTTTCGAAACGATCTTTCTTTCCCCTTCAATGTGCTTAAACCTTAAACCTTAAAAATAAACGGTCTCGCCAGAACGGTCGCAGGCGAAGATTCGACCCACATTGATTTTCATTGATCAACCGCAATTCTGATCGGGCCGCTCTTGGAAAAAAACGAGCGAATTAATTATACACCGAGCCGCCTAATTTCAGCTCGACGGCTATTCGTCATCGCTGAGTGATCGCGCGATGACGAACTGGATGGAAATCGAATCCGGCGGAATTGCCGATGACAAATTTAATCTCTCAGTGATCTAACATGACTCTATAATAATAATAACTCCCTATCTTTATAAACTCTTATCGGAAATTCCACTATAGATCTTTATAGATAATTTTAACAAATTTGTAAAAATTACAAGGATAAACTAAAAATATGGCAAATTGTGTATTACTAAATATACACATTCTATATTAGTTTAATATAGAATGGGTATATTTATATACATAAGAAAATATCATTCTTTCCTGAAAAAAAAAAAAAAGAATTCATTTTTTTTAAATTTGAGTAAAATAAATTTTATTTTTCATTTTTAAAAAGCTGCAGAATATAAATTAACAAATCCGTAGTTTATCTCTTTATTTAAAAGAATATTGTCGCTAAGAATTAATTATTGGGAAAGACGTCTGGAAATAACTTCATCCATAAAATTTTAAAAATAATCTCGGTATAGATTTTATATCATCATTACACAAAGAAAAAATTGTAAGAAAAAATTAGAAAGAATATAATAAATAATAAATATAATAAAATATAATAAATATAATAAAAAATTAAAATCAAGATAACACACAATATCTAATGTAAATATTATATTTAAATATATAGAAATAATACAGGAAAAATAGTTTAGATAAACTAAATTTCTGATAAAATATGGACGATCCAGAAATTCGATTGAAATTATCAAAATCCTTATTTAAATTTCTTATTTAAACTAGAATCGTGATACCTTATATCGAATTATGATACTTTAATTGAAATTTTTTCCAAGAAAGCTATCTTCTCCATGAATAATTGGTAAGATAACTCGACGCGAGGAGGCAAAAAAAAAAAAAAAAAATACGGATTTAGGAATGGCGTAATGCGTAGATATCAGAAACGTTAAACAGAGTTAACGCTAAGCAGACAATCGTAAAACGTGACAACCGAAATCTTTCCTCCTCGTAAGTTCGCACACGAGCCACCACACCAAAGAGAGATCTCTGGCGATCATTCGAGTCAGCAGGATACACCTTCAAATTGCCATTGCATCGCCGTGTACACGTGCGCGCGCGCATGTATGCACGCGTACACGCACACGCATCCACACACACGCACACGCACACACGCGCGCGCGCGCGCGCATGCCTCGGAAACACTCGCGGGCGTAACGCGCACCGTAACCGCTCGCCAATATACGCGCATGCATAATGCCAAGCATAACCGAGTAGTTTATTTATAACGCAGTGCGGAAATACACCCGGCTTGTGCCTTTATTGTAAAACGTCGTTGTGTAACGAGGTTGTGTAACGTAATTGCACGATAGTACGGCGACGCGTATGCGGCGCATGCCGCACTCGCGTCCCTGCCCCCTCGCCGCCAGCTCCACCACCTGACTCTTGTCGTCCTTCTTTCCTCCATTTGCCGAGCCGCGCGCGCGCGCGCGCGATATCTGTGTATAGCCGAGGTACGCAGCGGTGGAATTTAACGAAAGCGAACGGAAACGTCAATCCTCCGGCGTAAATGTCGAAGACGTCCCCGTTCGCTCGACGGGAATCGCGAGACGTTTTTACGTGATCGAGCCTCGCGGCGCGGTGACTTTGATTTACGACAACAAGAATTAATTTCATCTAATCGCTTCAGCTGCCTTCGACTTCTCGGTGCCTCGCAAATGGGATCGCATGCGTATTATCAATCGCGAAGAAGCCGCCAACAACGTAGGTTTCACGTAGTCGCATTTACATAGTAATCGTGAAGCGTACGACGCAACGTCGTCCGATGTCGGATGTATCTTTTGTCGTTGCGCAATATCACAGAGTGCGATTAGATACCAGCAATGAGATCGAATGGCGTAAAATAGCGTGTAACACACAAAAAAAAAGGAGTATCAGCTTGTAAACTGAAGTTGAAACATAGAAAGATAAATTCGGACTCTCTGTCCTCATAAGTATTTCTAAAAATAATTATATCTCAGTTATAAGCGGAATCTAATCTTGATAAGATAGAACCGAGGCACTAAAAGCATCTAACTTGTAATAGAGAAATAAATAGACAAGAGATATCGAATATCAGCATACAAATATGTAGACAAAAGCTTTCTCTCGAGTAAGTTATAAATTGTAGCATAACTTGTCGAATGAGATTTATATTGAATCAAGGCTTGGATCAAGTGCACGAGTGCATCTCTACCGAATACACTCGAAAAACGCTTTCGGAAAGGTCGAGTGTTCGCACCCACACGTGAAGTTTTAGAAAATGGCACGAAGCGGATCTTTTTTCCTCGTAGCCGGGTTTCTCTCGAAACGTTAGCCAAGCCGGGTATTTACGATACTGGGACGCGAATGTCTCTAATTATAGATCATTGCAGCATCCTCTCTCAGCATATGCACATAGTCACATAATATATGTAGATGTCCAGCACACCATAATTTGATGGAGAGATAATCTTCTCTGTCTCTCTGTTGAAATTATTAATCCGATTATTTATTTGACTCAATTCTGCGTAAAAAAAACTCTTAATAAAAAAAGATGAATTTAACTATTCTAATTAAAATATTATTTTAAATTAAAATCTAACTATAAAGTATGAAATTATACGAGCTAAATAAAGTGCTATTAAAGTTTTTACAAATTATAAACAACATACATAAAAATACTACGTTCTTATATTGCACAAATAAACAATTATAAAAAATGGACTTTATCACGACTGTGTCTATTAATTGAATGCATCGCGATATTGCTCGACTCAAAATAAATTTCTTTCGTGTATTCCGTTTATCATTAAAAAATTCAAAGATGCTGTTGACATTCTAATAAAATACTAAGAAGATATGATTAATCAAATCTTTTTAATTACCAATTAAAATTATTATTATTTAATATGCAATAAAATTATTTTTAAGTATTTATTTTAGATGTATAAAAATTTTGGAAAAATAAATGATATTTTATAATTTTTAAGTTAATACTTTAAAAAGCGCTTATCGAACTTTATCGAACTTTAAGTCACATTTTTCATGTAAATAATTATTTTCTTGTCACTTTCGAAAAAATATTTCAAAATTCAAAGATTATTAGCGAATACATACACATGGACATGTATAATCTTAAGAATTAATTATTGAATCGCAAAAGATAAAATTTAGACTGTGTCTTAAAACATATTTCATTTGAATTCCTCGATTTAATCACGATAGCAAATATAACATAACGAACTAATTCTCACGATCTATTTATTAAATCGAATCGAATTTCAAGATTAATTTAAATAAGTTTTTCAAACGCGACTATAAATACGCTTTAGAAAATTGCAAATTGATTGATAGTTAATTTTAAATAAATCAATATATATAGTAACTATAAAAATTCAATAACCGCGAAACAGATATTTCATATATTTTCGAGTATCAAGCCGACACTCTGTATACCAACAGACGTTCAACTTGCTTTTACCATCGATTGTTTTCCAAGCCTGTTTCTCGATCCAGAGAAAAATGGCTACGCTTTTGACGCGAAACTATTTTTCATTTTTGCGAATAAAGCGCGACTTTCGCCGGCAGCCATCGGGCGGGATTTCCACGTGGTGCAACGACGGATGGAAATGTGGAAAAAGGATTCTAAGGAATTGTTTGGGCGTACTGATCGGCGCGGGTACCACCTGCGGAACGTTGTTATACATTCTGGACCGATCGGTTCAAGCGATGGGCCACGACGCACACCTGCCCAGCTATCCCTGGGACTTTGATGGATTCTTCTCGTGCCTGGACCACGCGGCCGTGCGACGGGGCTGGCAGGTCTACAAAACCTTGTGTCACACGTGCCACAGCCTGCGCTACGTGCAATTCATAAATCTGATCGACGTGTCGCACACGAGGGACGAGGTCAAGGCCATTGCTGCCGAGTACGAGGTAGACGGTAGGCTTGAATTTATCGCACGCCGAGAATCCGCCGAATTCTCTCCACTCGCCACTTTCGACGTAGGCGTTTCCGTTTCCTTCTCTTTCTCGCGCCTCTCGTAATTGACTTTGAGACCCGCGTCCGACGACGCGTAATTCAATTACGAGTTGGCTCGCCGAGAACGTTTTCCGTCCACGCAAAAAATGAGATTAGCTACCCGCTCCGCGAGTATACGCGCAATATATACGTTTCTGTCTGAAGTGTTTACGAAGTTGGATACCCGGAGAAAATTTAGTTACTCGTGAAATTCATATTATATATGAATTTCACATATATAAAATCTCATAATATTCTCTCTCTTTCTCTCTCTCTCTCTCTCTCATATGTAAAAAAAGAAAAGACAAAGAACAACATAGAAAAATCAAAATCAAATCAAAATCAAATCAAAATAATTGTAAAAAATTTTTTATATTATTTCATATTATATATCGTAATTCTAGTATTAGGATCTTACGAAAGCGAGTTTTTTTACAAATAAATTTGCAATACTATGTAATATATGCTATCAGTATGCTACGTAACTACATTGTACATGCTATCGGTTTAGTAGTATAAAATTCTTCAGTAAAATTAATCTCAATGGATGAATATATCTTATCAAGTTACATTTTTTTATTTATTGCGCGGACTGATAGTTAGTAATTTAAAGATAATACAAATACGACGTAATCCTAGCCAAGTAATCTATTAGGCTTGTCACTGTCTCTATGCTGCTTTTATTTATATAAAATATATGTATATAGTAATATATCTTGTATACAGACTCAATGCATTAATAATAACTATTTATATTTTTAGTCTTATTAATAAAGTAAAATAATTAATTCGTATAATTTTTGAGAAGCTTTTCAATACGTTTAGCTTTCCTTACTGGGCTTGTATCTTATTGTGCAAAATATTACACTCGAATATGCAGGTTGAGGATGGACCAGACGAAGAGGGAAATTACTACACGAGACCTGGAAAATTATCTGATTTATTACCGTCCCCATATCCAAACGAGGAAGCTGCTAGGGCGGCCAATTTCGGGGCGTACCCACCGGATTTGACTCACATTATTCTTGCTAGGAGAAACGGTAGAAATTACTTATTTTCTATGTTAACGGGATGGATGGAGCCGCCAGCAGGAGTGTCTTTAACCGAGCAGCAATACTTTAACATTTACTTTCCCGGAAATGTAATCAATATGCCACAGGTAAATGTCAAAGATCATAATACAGCATATTTTTATATTACATATTACACAGATTTTCTTTTGTTTCTTTTCATCTTATGATGAAAAGAACGTGAATGTGAATTAAAATATTTAATAAAAATTTTATCGTATGTCAGTTTTCTTCCCGCAGCTTTTAATTCGCAACTATGAATATCTCAGTAATCTATCTTCAAAATTTAAATTCTTGTTAGAATTTTTTTTTTAAATGGAACGAAATAAAACACATTGTCTACATCCATCATTGAACCTTGATATTTAAAGACTTCTATGTCTTTGTGCTCTAACTTATTTTTAACTTTCCCTTTATTGACAAAAGTTCGATCTCTCTCTTTCTCTCTCTCCCCCCCTCCCCCCCTAAAAGAGAGACAGATAAAGAGGCATAGGATAATGACGAAATAAATTAAGAAAAATGGCTGAAAATGACTGAACAATCTATAAGTACAATAAACGTTCACCAAATGTTTGAGGAACCTTCTAAGGTCTGCAAATTGGAGATAAATATGATCGATGAGATATTGATGGTACCAAATTGTACCTTATCAAAAGATATTCATGCATTAATATTATTAATATTAATTTCATTAATTTTTTATATTAATGGAATTTTAATTGCATGCTCTAGCACTTAATAATCATTATATAATATAATGTATTATGATGTAAAATCATGTTCAGATGTTAAGTGACGGTGCGGTGGAATACGACGATGGTACTCCATCAACAACATCGCAAATGGCGAAGGACTTAGTCGAATTTTTAAGCTGGACATCCTCGCAAAATCTCGACGAACGAAAACGGATGTTCGTCAAGGGAACAGGAATCTTTATCATATTATTGGCTTCGCTTATTTATCATATGAGATTTGTTTGGTCGCACTTAAGAAGCAGACAGATTGCATATGTGCCCAAAGAAAAGTAAATTAAAAAATATTCTCACAAAAGATTTCCAATGATAATTCAAATAAAAAAAGTTATTTCTCATCAAAAAAGAGATACAAAGTGAATTATTTCAATTCAGATGATTTCACATGTACATTTTATGTATATTGAATATATAAAAGTTTAAAATTACTAATTAATAAGAATTATTTCTTAGATCTAAAATGATTGAATACTTTGACTAGAAAAAATGTCGAAGATCATAATTATAAGTTACATATTATAAGCTACAGAAATAGATTTAAAATCATTCATTTCAAAATCATCAATTTAAAAAAAAATAATTTATTTTTGTGTACATATATATATATAATCAAGAATAAAAAAAAGTAAATGAGGAATAATTGTAAATAAAACTAAAATTTTATTAAAACTTCTACAAAAAAAATAAATAAAATGTTTATATTTTAACTTGAAAAAAAAAAAGAAAAAAAAACTAAATTTTTTTGAAAGAAATTTTTTTATTATAAAATATAATTTTATATAAAGAAAATCGTCTTCGAAAATAGATTTAATATCAACTTATTTATCAAATATCAATTAAATATTTTTAAAAAATAGATTTTTATTTGGTTTTATATATATATATATATATATAAAATATATATATATATATAAAGAGAGAGCATATTCAAGCATATTCGTAATATGCTAATATTTTGCTTAGCTGCTGAATTTTAAACTTTCGCGTAATTTTAACTGAATGCGACGGTAGTACGGTAATCCTTATTTAGAACCGAGCGCAAACATCCACGTGGTTCCACAAAGTTGCATTAGAGTGTGCATCCGCATAGTGTGCATATATATATATATATATATACGAAAACGCTACTATTTATAAATACGGGCGACTTTGAGAACGAACGGCGAATCCTATCTCCTCTTGCTTAATGTCGATGCGGGCTGGTCGCGGAGTAGCGCGCGCGCGCGCGCGCGCGCGCAAAGTATACAAAGAACACGAATGGATCCAGCGAGCGACTGCAGTAACATGCGCCAGCGTCGATAATCGTT